GGAGTTGAACACTTGTAGAGGTCTTTCACTTCTTGACCAGTCTCTCAAGCTTCCAGGGGACATGGCCTCTCCTGCAGACAGTCACTGGCAGGGAGCAACGAGGGGGCTTTGTGGGGTTACAGCAGCACTGGAGTGGGCACAGGGAGCTGCGGGTCGTGGGCTGTCCTGATGCAGCTCTGCACTCTCTGCTGTTGGACCTGGCCAGCTTCAAGTGCAGAAGTGGCCCTCCCTTGGCTGTCGGAAGGGGCTGGGAGCAGGGCTGCAGAAGGCAGGACAGCAGGGCACTGCAGAGAGCTGTCCCCATGGGCCTGCCAGAACGGGTCCTTCAGGGACATGGTGCTCTTTAGCTTGCAGCAGTGGCAAAGCCTGGAAGAACAAAAAGAGACTTTGTCCTCCTTTTTATATTTTTCTTCAGCACTGAGGAGCTGACTGTTAAGCATCAACATTTATAACAGAGGGTGGCCTCACCTGGGGAGCAGGGCAAACAAAGGCTACTGATAAATGCACCTGGATCCTCCGTAGTCCCAGGAGGAAGGTATGATCAAGACTTGAAGGCATCCATCTACTTGGTCTGCTTGGGTGAGGTGCTTGGGGCAGTGTGTGGGGCTCACTGGCCAGGGCTGTGCAGGAGAGGGGCCACCTTGCTCTGACATCTTCACATTGCTTCCAGCTGTGACATTGCATCATTACTTTGCAGACACTCCATGTACATTGAGTCCACAGTTAATGTTAATTTTTCACAGTGAAAAATATTTTGTAATATTTATATTTTCTTTTTTCTGTTAGTATTGGAATGCGTGGTTTAAAAAAAATGAAACCAAATCAAACACAGACAAAAACCCCATTGAGGTCCTTTTGTGTAGACCAGCCATGAACAGCAGGAAAAAGGCTTTAGGAGGCTGATTTAAGGGGTCAGAAGCTGCACCAGGCAAGTGGAGTTGACCTTGGGCTCATCCAGTGCTGAGCGCTTACCCCCTGCTGATGTTTATGCGGAGTGTTCAGTGTGAAATCACTGCTTTGCCTGAGCTGGAAGTTCACTGCTACACGGCTTTGGGGATGGATGTGGGAGGGAGAAGCCTCTGTGGGAGTGGAGTCAAGCTCCTGTGGCAGAGAAACCCTCTTCTGCCTTGCAGGGGATCTGGGGAGGCATATGTCTTCACAGCCAAGTCCATGCTGGTCTCTAGTTAGCCACAAGCCAAAGCAGCTGAGCCTTTTCTCTGTTGCTAACTGAACACTGAAGGTGGAGTCTCCAGCCTTTCCTTGCCTCCTGCTGTAACATGCTGGATGTGCTGGAGGGACTCGCTTGTGCTCAAAGATGGTGCAAAGGGCAGCTCTGATACTTGTGGTGAAGGAGGATGCTGCAGCACAAGGGGTCCTGCACGAGGGTGGTAGATGTATTTGGCATCCTCCTCAGCCAGGATGTTTCTCCCTCCTTCCTGATGGCATCTGCCCATGTGCTTACCCATCTTCCACCAATTCCAGCTCTTTTCTTGTCATGCCACTGGTGCAGGCAGCTGCCTGGGCTGGGGCAAGCAACCTGCGTGGGAGTGGGGGTCCCTTGAGATGGCTTGGCTGTGAAAATCAGAGCTCTTTATTTGGTGTGTTTCTGGAATAAAGGCAAGTTATGTAAATGTGTTTCAGCTTAAAAACAGAGTGAATAACTATCTGGCTGGAGGACAATGGCAGAACAACCCAAAGTGCAGCCTCAAGATGGAGGAGCAAGCCAGAATGTGTATTTTAAAAATTCTCCCAAGTCTGAGCCAGTCATTTTGAGTTTTGTGTGGCTTCCATCACTTCTAATATTTCAGTAATTGTCCCTGTAGTGATCCAGACACTTGTACCGTGCCAGCTCCCCTTGCCTTCCCTCCCTCCTCTCCTGGGTGAAGCAGGAGGAGAGGGGCCCACACCTGCTTGAGAGGATTCTTCTTGCAGGATTGGGCTGAGTGGAGATGTGTTGTTCAGCATGCAAGTTGCTCTTAAGGCATCATAAGAGAAAATTCATCTTAAGAGGAAGCCGTGCAGGAGGAACCCACATGTATCACTTCAAATGCTCATGCCTCTTTCACAGAAATACTTATGGTATGTGGTATCTTTAAATGACTTCATCCCAATGAGGCCCCAATGGGGCTGAAGTGAAACTATCTGGAAAAGCTGTTCCTCTCCCTCTTGCCTGCTGTATTCTATTAGTTTACATTTCCCACTGCCTGGAGTTCTCCATGGCAGCAGCTGCCCACTCTGGGGTTTGAGCTGGACAGTGCAGCACTGTGACCTGAGGCAGTTCCCCAGGGTGGGAGGAGCAGTCTGGGGCCAGCACTCCTGTGCTGCTCCGGGGGGAAGGAGCTTGCAGCCCCGAGCTGAAAGCAAGTGCTCTTGCTCTGAGCACTCCAGAGTGGTTCTCTTTATAACTTGCATTTTGATGTTCCAGACTTGAAAGATTCATTTGCAGGTTTTCCTTTTTGCTGGAATCAAAAGGATGCTTTGCCAGGCAGTTAATAACTTCCCTTGCCTCTCATCTGGGGAAACCAGCTCGTGTTCCCCTGGGAGGGCTGCTGCTGGGAGCAAGCACTCCCTGCTGGAGCCTTCTCTGCAGATAATGAGGGAAGACTGAGTGGCTGAGCTCATCTCACTGCTGCTTCCCCTCCACCCTCCTCTTCTCGAGCTTATCCCCTGTGGTGCGCTCCTATCCTCTCCCACCTCTGGTGCCAGGTAGGTTCAGCTTGTAAAATCAGTGGAGAACATAACAAATAAAGCTCAAACAAAGAAAAACCCCACCCCAAAATGACCCACTTGTAAGGCTGGTTAATGCAGGGCATCAAGGGGGAAGGACTGCAGGGGAAGCAAGGTCTCAGCCTTCTGCTGGCAGTGGGCTGTGAGCTACTGGATTAACTAAAGCTGTACTACGTAATTTCCCTTTTGGGTGCAGCACAACTGGGTGGTGCTGTGCAGAGGCAGAATCCTCCCACGTGTCCCACCAGCTCCCTTGAGCTGCCCCTAACACCTGCAGTTGCTGGGGGACCTGTGTTGGGCTAGAGACCAGCAGGCAACTTGGCACAGCCAAAAAATGGTTATTTCCCCTGCGGGGCTGTTGGGGTGGGAATGTGGGGATGGTCATTGAGGGAGGAACATGATTCTTGAGCTGCCGCTGCCTTTGGGAAGCTACCTCCAAATGCACCTCGGGACACTCTGAGTGAGGGAGCTTTGAAAGAGAACTATATTATCTGAGCAACCACTGCCAGTGCAAGGATACCTGCCATCTGGGTGTGTGGCTTCAGGGGAACAGATGAATCCTGTTCTCCACCTTGCAGGTTTTCTTTCACAGAGAACAGAAAACTTTTTTCATTCCCCAGCTTGCTGGGCTAGGAGAAAGGAAATGCTTCTGTTGCACCAGCCCCTCAAAATCCATTCTGAAGCACAACACTGCCTGTGGAATCTGTAACACAGTTTTGAAATACCTTCTGGGAAACCACTTCTATAAATATCAAGACTATTCCAGCAGTACTTTTGTTCAACTTTATTTTATAAAATGCATTTGAAAAGATTTTTGCTAGATACAATTACTGTACTTAAAAAAATCGTGCAAATATTTTGACTTCTAAAAGTAAGATTAAAAAAAGAAAAAGTTGTTCTTATGGGTTATCCCTTCAGTTCCTAAGAATTATAGGATCTGGAAGTTCATGAGAGTTTTTGACAAGTGATAGATGAGAAATATGACTAGAAACCAGGAAGAAGCATCTGATGGTGAGAAAGAGACTCCTTCCATCTGGCTACTGAGACAGGGACCTCTGTATTCCAGGAGTGTTGGATGCCCTGGGCAAGGCAGCCAGACTGAGTGGCTTTATAGCAGGAGAACTCTTTGCTCTGGTAGTAGTGAACTGTTCTGGGGCCTGTCCCTCTACAGCTGATACAGAGGAGAAAAAAAAATTTGCAAAGCAGTAAGTTCAGCTGAGCAAAAATTCAACTTTTGACTTTCCTGGTTTTTTTTCCATGGAATTTAGAACCAAAATGTTGGTTTTTGGAACATCTGTAATATTTGATGGCCATGATCAAAGAAGCAAACCAGCAGGAAGATATGGTCTAGCTGTAGCATTAAGCCCTTGAGGAAGGATCTCAGCAGCACCACAAGTATCTTCTTCCAGCAAAAGCTGGCAGGGATGAAAGAAAGGAGTTATTAATGAACCTGTGTCTGGAGTGGAGGTTCATGCTTTCTTTGACAGTTGAGTCTTATCTGTAAAGTTCATCCTCCACTGTGGTTTGAAGGCCCACAGATAGCTGGCTTCTACAGTCTGGTCACAGCTTACCAATGCTTGTCAGAAACCAGATGCAGGGTTCCAGTGCTGGTACAGCGAGGCTGAAATCAAGGACATGCCAGTGGTGCTCAGTGCTTGGGTCTTACAAGGAGTCTTACCTTTAACCTTAAAAATGAGGTTTCCTTTGTGTTCTTTCCTGTTCAGATCGGATGCTTTTCTTCATTACTACTGCTTTGATGAGGCTCAGACCTACTCTTATAACTTCAGCTGACAACTCCCTGACTCTTAGGTAGCTGGTAAAAAGTAACTCCGTATTCACAAGGATTATTACTGTTAGGGGCTGTAGGGGGAGGAAGGGCAGTGACACAGTCCCCAGCACCAGTGGCACTTCTGAGCACAGCTTTCAGAAAGTGCTTGTTGGTTTCCATGCTTAATAATAATAATACGATATTCAAAGCACTCTGCACCAGTATGAGTTCTGTATCTGTGGTGTGTTGGAATCATTATGGAAAACATAATGGCTGGCTTCGAGATTTAGAGATTCATGAGGCTGCTTAAAGATGAGTCCTGCTGGTCCTGGTACCCTGTGGACTAGTTGATGACATCAAGTATATATCTAAACAGTCAATACAGGCTCTTAGCCTGCAAAATGTGGAATCGTATGATAATCCCACGTGTCCATGTACAGGCTACACTTTGCTGGACGGAGGTCTCATGCATTGCCTATTTTTCCCCACAGGCTAGCTCCTCATCCTATATTTCATTGAGATAGTCTTGATCAGGATATATCAGGAAGCCAGTAAATAAGCTGTCTGTCCAGTAGGGATCATAAAAGAGCCCATTTTGTTCTGAGTAAAAGATCTGCAGCCATACCTCATCCTCCTGCTTCAGAGAAAGGATGGTTGATCCAGAGGCAACGTCGTGGTTCCCAGTGTTGGCATCAAAAGTCTTGATGCGGTACTGGCCGTTGTGGACCAAGCCAATGGCCAGATGCTTGTTGGCCAAAGTGATATCGTACGTGAAGTAGTAAATACCTGGGATGCTGCATATGAATTTCCCGCTGGAAGCATTGTAGTGTCCTCCCTCGTTCATCAGGATCCTGTCGAATTTGATGGGCAGCCTTTCCCGTGGGTAGCTCTTTGAGACTGCCACGGAGAAGGCAGATTTGGCTTTGTTGGTGTTGCAGGTGCAGGGCCCTGGCATCCCAGTCTCACCCTTGTTCCCTTTGGGCCCTTTCTTCCCCGGTGCCCCATTTTTTCCAGGATTCCCCTTTAAGCCCTTGGGCCCTCGTGGACCTGCCTTGCCAACAGCTCCTGCCTTCCCCTTCGGTCCTGGCTTGCCAGGGTTTCCTGTCCTGCCTTGTGGACCTAGAAGACAAACAGCCTTGTAAATTCTTCAGTGAAGGAGGTGATATGGCAAGTGGAAAGGGCTCCTCTCGGTGCAGCAGTTTATTTTTCATTTAGGAGGAAACCCTTGTGGGTGAGAATCCTGATGAAATACTGCCTGGGACTGGACACCAGTCAGGACTGGCTAACCATGCTGGGAAGGTAGCTGACATGGTAACAGTGGGAGCCCCTGTCAGGAGCAGGACACTCTGTCCCTTTTATGGACCAAAAAGCTGATTCTGGCTCGCTTGAGGGAACGGAGTAGTAATTATAAAGCTAGCCAAGAACAAGCTTTAAATTTTGGGTGTTTTCAGTAACAGGACAGGTTTGTGAAGCTTTTGGAACCCAGCTTTGAGCAGATGGAGTGCTTTTAATCTCCTGTCTCTTTTTTTTTCCCTCTTTTTTTTACATTTAACATGAAATTGTTGTTTAAAAAGAGGTTAATTTTTTTTTTTTTTTTCTAGGTGTAGTAAAAAGCCCAGGCTAGCTGGGGGCTGAACCAGTCATGAACCAGAAGATACTAGTGGCAGGGACTGCCTTCAGATGGGAAGGGAGATGGGCTGTCACAGCAATGCTGAAACTGCTGAGTGCTAATTGTGGTAGTGTATGGTAGAAGGCGAATTCATGGGGGTTTATACCCTGTCTCTTGACCTGCTGTAGCAGGACTAGATTTAAATGTAGCTGTGGGTGGAAACCTGTCTTCCAGACTTCCTGTTTTGGGGACAGAAGAGAATAAGCTGCGGCTTTGACGTGCTGGTGTTGTGCTGGATCAGGAGTGCTCTCTAGTGAGGCAATGGGAAATCGCTGTCTCCTCGCCAGAGCTGCTCCTGGTGCCTACTGGCTGTAAGGCTGGATCTAAAGGAGAGACCCATTTCAGGATTAAAGAAGGCTTGTTGTTTGCTTTGGTTTAGATGGAGCGTGGTTGGAGCAGTTCCTGTTACCCAGCCAGAGCCCTCTGGGGAACAAATCCCTAATTTTTTCACTGGCTGTTCTGCTTGAGAGCAGGAGTCAAAGAGGTCACCACTTGGTCTCTTCTAGAGAGCTTAGGTCGGAACAGGAAAAATCTCACCTGATAACAAAATGAAGCCAATAGGGATCACACACAGCACTGGGGGGCTATCACCAGATAACGTGAGCCTGAACCCTGCTGGCAGGACCTGACAAGTGTCGGGTGTTGGAGGGGGGAGAGTGGAAGTTTCTAGAAGAGATTCCGGTGGGGTGTTGTCTGTCCTGGGGCTCAGATTTGGGGTGACAGGTTGCTGTGGACTGGGCTGTTGCACTATTGCTTTTCATGTTTTTCCCTTGTTGGGTTAAGCAGCGCGTTTCTCTCACCTTCGTCGCCGTGCTCGCCTTTATCCCCATCCTTGCCATCCTTGCCATCTTTGCCCGGGAAGCCCATCCTGCCCACTGTCCCCGGAGCCCCGGGAGCGCCGGGGGGGCCGGGTGGCCCAGGGGGTCCTGGCAGGCTGCACGCCAGCTGGGGACCTTCCTGCTGCTCTCCCTTCGCAAAGCCCCCCAGGATGTGGTTTGCCACGCAGGGCACGGTCCAGAGGAGCAGGACGGCGGAGATCATGGTGCAGCCTGTAAAAGGGAGATGGAACGTGGCTGTGTGGGCACAGAGGTGTCCCCTCCACCAGCACAGAGCGTTGTAGGCACTTGAGTGCAAATGGGAGACACCTGGGTTTTTTTTTGGCAGGGTGGAGGAGATATTTGTTTTGGTGTGACATGAATTCGAGGATTTGGCTCATGGAGTTTTCTAGGGCTGACCAATATTTTTTTCAAACTTGCTCTTCTCTAGGTCTGTATCTGTGGCCATCCCTCATTTTGTTTTGTTCCCTGGGCCTCCTTTCCCCCGAAACACAAGTGGCTGTGGCAGGAGGGGTGCAGAAAGTGGCTGCTCAGGAGCAGAGGAAGGAAAGGGGGGTTTGGTGTAAACTTGTCCCTGCTCAGCAGCTGGGTCACAGGGGTTTCCTACCAAGCACAAAACCCATCATGTGGTGCAGGGCTGAATTTAGAAGATGGGCTGGTGAAGGCTTTGGGCCAAGGCAGTCCTTCCTGCATTTTGCCCAAAGCACGACTTGAGCCTCTTGGCTAGGAGAGGATGTCCCACTCCCCATTGCAGCTGGGCTGCACAGCACCACACAACCTGCAGCTGGATTGCCCACCAAGGCTCTAGCTCAATGTGGGGGTGCAGCGACCCCTGCAGCTGTGATTGGCCCTGCTGCAGCCTCCACCAGTGGTTTTCTGGCCTCTCTGTGGGGACAGTAGCTCCATCCTTATGGTTGTTGCTAACATTCACCTTGGAAAGACTGGTGACTGTAAAAAACCTGGTCATTGTCTGCTGGCTCTGTGAAGTGAGCCATTGCTTTAAGCATAGCAAATGCAAAGGGCCTTTTTGGAACATCCCAGGCTCTGCCATTGTTCATGGTGGCTGAGCCTCCTGGGCTTGTCTCACTCCACTCCTGGATGGGGAGACAGCAACAGCAAATAATTTTTGTAATAAAGCTGTTCCTGTCAGCCTGCTAATGATCCAGAGCAGTTATGATACAGTAAAATATGCCTCTGGATGTCTGCACGTGGAGCTGTTTGCAAATAGCTGGGCTCTATGTGCAACTCCACTGTGTCTTGAAATAGTGCTCAGATGCATCAGCAGCTTAGGGAAGATGTTCAAAATCAGGCTGATTGACAAGAGCCCACCTTCATGCACCACCCACCTGAGACTCCAGGTGTTAGAAGCATTTAAAATAGAATTTGGGTTCTGCACAGGGTTACAGATATAGTAAAAGAGATAATTTCCCCTATGGTATCAGTTTCTGAGTACCCATGAGTGAAGGTGCCCCTGCCATCCTCTCCCCAGAACAGAAGGTGTTCCCGTACCCAGGCTGAGGATTTTTTCCTCCCTGTACCCTGCCAGTGAAGGAGGTCATGGCCCTGGCCACCAGCTCCCTGGTGGGCACTGACCACAGGCTGAGGGGAGACACTGATGGAGTCAGGCTCTTTTCCAGTTGTGTGAATATGGAAACAAGCAGATAGGGAGATGAAAGGGATCCCCTGTCCTAATTTCTTTCTTTCAGCTTCTGTAGCTGGAGTAGCCCTTGGAGAAATGAGATGCAAAGCCTAAAACTGCCCCGTACAAATCTGTGGCTTGTTCACTGTTTGCTTGGTAGCTCTTTCACTTGGAAAGATCAAACTAAAGCCAAAGTATTTAATTTTGGTGTTGTTTGGGTCTTTTAAAAACAAATTAGCCATGTATCATTTTGATACAACTCCTACCGACCCCCAGGCTAAGAAGTGCAGACTCTTAACTGATAAAAGGCTCCTATGAATTTTAGTCTTTCCCCTTGTTGCAGCTACCTCTGATGGTAGAGGCTTGCAGGTACTTCTTCAAGCTTTGGTGCTGAAGCAAATTTGTAGTTAAACATCAGTGCAATAGAAGATGAACTGGGACGTCCCAAGCCTTCCAGTCTGTGAGTGGCCTTTTGGTCAGGCAAGGTCCTGCTTGGCATTAAGTCAACCACTGGGAGGCTTTAGCATCTCCCCAGTAGTGTTATGTTTAACGTCTGCACTGGAAGTAAGATGCTTAAAGTACTGTATAAATTGTGTTAGCCTTAGGACTCTCATCCTGCTATCAGCTCCTGAAGGGGGTGGAAATGTGCATTACATGCTCCAAACCCAGCAAGCAATATGCTACATATTAATGCTGAGTGGGAGCCCCCCAGTTCTGTGATACGTATAATTAAGAACATGCAGAGGAGTGGGAAACTCAAAACAGATCTCGGGGTTGGATTCAGCTGCTAAGCCATTTGTTCTTGGCTCTCTTTCGCTTTTCTTCTCTCTAAGTTTATTTGCTGCTGGTGAGAGGTGTTTAATGGCCTTGTGAAACAGAAATCACCAAATAGTATTAATACGGATAGCTGAATAAAGGTTTCTCAGTGCATGGAAAGGGAAACAAAATGTTATAGTGCCTGTGGAGTGGGGACATCCCAAGGAAAGCTGCATCCCTGCTCCCCAGTAACCACTTCAAATGGGGCAGAAGAGAAGTGAGAGGTGTCTGGGGGTGGATGACACTAATCTGTGGCAAAGAAAAATGTCATTGTGGAGCATAACCAGGGAAAAAGCTGGGACTGCTTCATGTAAAGAACAAATGGGCAAGTGGGAGTGCAGGGCAGGAGAGGGCAGCTCCTTCTCTTAAAGTTTCTTATCATACTGTGTTCATCTCTGGGGCCCCCACCCTAAGAAAGACACGGACCTGCTCAAGTGGGTCCAGAGGAGGGCCACAAAGATGATTGGGGGCTGGAACACCTCTCCTGTGAGGGCAGGCTGAGAGAGCTGGGGTTGTTCAGCCTGGAGAAGAGAAGGCTCTGGAGACACCTGCTAGCAGCCTTCCAGTACCTAAAAGGGGCCTACAGGAAAGATGGGGTGGGTCTCCTTATCAGTGCGTGTAGTGACAGGACAAGGGGTAATGGCTTCAGACTGAAAGAGGGTAGATTTAGATTAGGTATGAGGAAGAAATTCTTACTGTGAGGGTGGTGAGACACTGGAGCAGGTTGCCCAGGGAGGGTGTGGATGCCCCCTCCTTGGAAGTGTTCAAGGCCAGGCTGGATGGGGCTTTGAGCAACATGCTCTAGTGGGAGATGTCCCTGCCCATGGCAGGGGGGGTTGGAACTAGGGGAAGTTTAAGGTCACTTCCAACCTAAACCATTCTATGATTCTATTCTATGATAAATACTTCTATTACCTTCAAGCAGCCAGCTAGTTGACATGATGGGATAAAGAGGGGTGAACATAAAAGAGCCTGAGACTGGGAGGTCAGTAGTACTGGTACTTGGATAGAAGGGGAGTATTTGACTACCTGGGGCCATGCTCTGGCACAGCTCCCGAGGCGGTGTTAATTACCAGCTCCACAAGAACATTTCATCCCCACCCCGGCAGCGCATGTGGGATGCAAAGCACAGTCACATTCACAAGGGGAGCTATAAATAACCTCTTAAAGAAATCTCTTTGAAAGAAAACAAACCTCATGCTGTTCCACCTTAAAAGGAAAATTACTCCTCCATGTAGAATGTATGCTGAGCTCCAAAAAGCAAATTGGAAGCAGATCAGCATCTCTCCTCTGCAGTACAGGCAGCAGGCCTGGCACTGGAGACCGTGCAGCAGAACTGCAGCTGAGGCCTTCCTTGTCTAATGACAGCTTAATTAACGTCTTCGTTAATAGGGTTTTGGAGACTTTATGTCCATGACCAATGCCTGGGACTGTGCGCCTTGCCCAAGGGGTTACTGTTTGGTGGAGGACTGCTTAGGGAGGTGAGGAGATCCTGTGTCATCTGGGCGAGCATGCAGCCCAGGGGGTGGTTGCAGTTGTACCTGCAGCCTCACATCAGCTCATTCAGGCAACCACAGCACGGGCACAGCTGGCCAGGCCCTAGGGCTGCCATGCCGCAGCTTCTCCCCAGCAGAGCCTGGGGCACAAACAGGACTTGAGTTTATCAGACTCATTGGTGCTGAGCTTGAGCATGGAGCACCTCATGTGGAGTGCCTCTCCCTTGGTGACAGCATGTTAGTGATGGGCAAGGTCTCACGCGCATAGAAATGCTTTTCATTCCAATACTTAAAAATACCCTATTCACTTATTGAGTCACTCTGAAATGATGCCTTCTGAAATATTTAGTGGAAATGGTGCTTTCTAGGTTGCTTGATCAAGGACTAAATCTCAGTAGATGGTGCAAGTTGTGGAGGGCATTTGGTGGACAAGGACAGCACTGAGTTGCTCTGAGGTACAGGGTTTTGGAAAAACGACCATTTGAGCTCTCAGGTGCTAGGTAGGCTCTGGTTGAGACCTCTTGGTCTGATCATAGCTGGGTCAAACCTTCACCCAGAGATGAGGAAGAGAGGTTTCAAAATGTGTTGCAAATGTTGGAGGTAGAAGGATGAGGCAGGCAGGCAGAGTGACAGGTGTCCATCAGCTGGGTTTGACAGACAAGGATTCCCTGTGTCCTACA